CCTTCACCTGCGCAGACCTCAACCTGGGATCGACGATTGGGCTCGCTAGTGGCGACAGGGTGTGCTCGCGGCTGAACAAAGCCCAACCAAGTGCACAAGTTAAATGCCTCCAAAAAACAAAATCATTGGGACAGTCTGGCAGAGGAATTTGGGACAGCCATGCTATGATAGGCAGGAGGTTCGATGCCTTCATGCCTGGAAGGTACAATAACTAGTGCACTGGAGCCAATCTTTGGCCTGGATGGTGGAGTGTTTCACTCACGTCAAAAACAGGCGTGCTCGTTGTCGAGTCAGAAGCTTTACCGGTTCTTCAAACGAGGACAGTTCCTTTTGAAGACCCGAACCCCAAGAGTCACAGGCACGATTGGCCTGCGCAAAACCCCTATATCGCTAGCGCAGCAGTTTTGTAGGTGTAGCATGGCCATCCCACACAAAAACAAATTTAGAACTTATCTATAGAATCAGGGAAAATCACATGGCCATGGTTGCCACTGCTGTTGCACAAAAGCCTTGGGTCACAAAAGCAGGCCTGCTCCATGTTATTTTCGAAAACCAACGATGCATGCACACATTGCACACATGTTTCGTGTGAGGATGAGCTCGCATTATCATATCTAGCACATATATAAACAAAAAAGCTACAAAGCTAGCCGGCCTTCTTTTGTTTGTTGCTTTTGCCCTTGCCCTTTGGCTTTGCCGTTTCAACACGAGGAGCATCATCAGTGAATCCTGCCTTTTTGGCTTTGGGCAGGCTATAGTGCTTCCCCTTTTTCGGGTCGATCCAGACTTTGTACAAGGAGCCTTGCATTTTGCCAGACATCCTTTTCCGAGTCTCCACAATCCAGCCGTCCTGCCGGTTTTGGTCTTGATGGACAAGTTCATACTTCCTTAGATATTAACATGCCCCACTGGTGAGAGCTAAGCACATGTGCACGCATGCATACAATGTATATCACACTGCAAATCAGTATAATCAGGCTAAGTATCACCCGCTGTTGCTTCCCTTGCTTTTCACGTAAAAGGGCTAGTTGTTCTTCAGGTGTGGGGGCACGACATGATGCTTTCTTCAATGCACATGCTTGCGCTTTGTTGATTGCAACTTGGAATGCTGAATACATGAAGTCCTTACACTTCTTGACTTCCACAAGCGAGGGCAAAGTCGATGTATCCTTCCCTTTTGGCTCCTAGCGGTAGCAATGCAGATGGGGAAAGAACAATATATGATGCATGTTGATGCAGATACTGATCAAGATAACCCACACAACTTCCTCCTCGGTTTGGAATTCTTTTGTTTCTTCTTTCTTCTCATTGGGACTACCTCACTGGGAAAGGTTGACAATAACAGCACACATGGCATGTGCGCTGCACAAAGTACACAGCACATCTCTAAGCATAGCCAAGGTGCAAAATGACTTTGTCCTTCGCCGGTGTTTTGGCACAACCTTCATTTTAGTCTCCACATCAGGCACCAGGACAATCTTGGATTCCTCGTCTTGCTCCTCCAAAGCACACCGGCTGCAAGCACGTTTCCGCGCTTCCGCACTTGAAAGAGTAGCTGGCCATTCACTGGGCTGGGTAAAGTCAAAAAACTCATCTAGCATTGTTTGACGAAGAGCTTGGGCAAGTTGTCGGGCAAGTTTGCTTGGTAGGTTCGCTGGCAAGGGAAACTTATACCCCTTTTTCATCCACCTTCGGATATTGGTCTTGGGAAACTCGTGTCGAATCCAAAGTTCAAACTCCCCAGCCCTAGTCTTCTCCTCAGACTTGATGCCAGACGAAGATGAACCAGCGCCAACAAGGGCTGTAGGTGGAATCTCAACCTCAATTTCATCCTCAGACTCCTCCACAAAAGGTCTTGCATCTTTCTTTATCCTTTTGGATTCCTGGTCCTCAGTCCTGTTGCATTTCCGAGCCTTCTTCGGAAGTTCTTTGCGCTCATTGTTAATTGTCTTTTTAATTTCTTCATCAGTCATGTGGTGCGTCGAGAAGCCACACGCTGCTGCCGATGGCCTCCCTTCCGCTGGTTTCGCTGCTTCATCAACTTCATCGTCTTCACTGATTACTAGCAACTTTTCAATGGCCATCTCAATGTCAGAAGTCTTGAGATGTTCACCATCCTTTGCTTTGTCGTCATCAGATTCGGATGAACTTTCAGATGATGAGGAAGACTCTGAATTCTTTGTCGACTCAGTCTCTTCATCCTCCTCTTGCCCCTCCTGTTCATCAAACTTGTGCTTCAGGCACCTCGGGGAAGGACCATTTAATCTAGCCTCCTCATGAGTAGCAGCATGGCTACCTTCGGATTTAGACTTGCCTCTCATCTCCTCATCTTCTGGGCTCTTCTCCTCTTCACTTTTGTCTTCACTCTCCTGGCTCATCTTCTCATCATCATCTTCCTTTTCTTCCTTGGCCTCCTTCTCTTCACTCTCCTGGCTCATCTTCTCATCATCATCTTCCTTTTCTTCCTTGGCCTCCTTCTCTTCACTCTCCTGGCTCATCTTTTCATCTTCCTCATCTTCTTCATCATGCTTTTCACCTAACCTTGCAATAAACTTAAGCATCTCATCTTCCTCTTCTTCGTCATCTTCTTCCTCCTCATCGCTTTTCGTTGCGCCGGTCTTGCCTTGTCCAGTGTTCTTTTCATCCTCATCTTCTTCCTCGTCCGTTTCTTCCTCATCTTCTTCTTCCTCCTCCTCATCCTCATTTATTTTCGCTGCACCGGTTTGCTGGCAGCCTTCCTCATTGCCCTTTTCATCCTCATCTTCCTCCTCACTTTCCTCCTCCT